TATCCCAATTTCATTCAGCCCCAAACAGTCAAGCAAACAGTCGTGTAAAATTGGCATCAAGTCAGCTGCATGTAGTCTTATTTATATACTACTAAACAAGAAAAAATTTATTAAGTTTGATTTAAAAAATATTTTTAAATTCTGTAATTTTTAAATTATTTCACATTATAATACTTCTATTAAAATGAGAGAATGCTTTGGTTACATAATATTTGTTTAGTGGTATTTTGATAAACAACACAAATTAAACAAGAGAATATAGTAAAAAGTGTTGAAAGGCACTATATTAAAAACGTACTCATGACATTTCTCATTTTTAAGGAGAGATATTAAGAAATGGCAAAAAAAAGTTAATCAGTCACAAATAGGAGGATTAATTCATAGTCACTGTCAGTAAAGACATTTAATTTAAAAGATTTTTTTTAACAGTTTTGGAATAATAAAGAAAATTATGTTAGAAACACTAACTTATCAATCCATCCATCATGCTTATTCCGTCATGGTAGCGGTAGGGCCGGTATCTATCTCCGGTAGTCTATGGGCGCGGTACACCCTGGACAGGTCGCAAGTCTGTCGCAGGGCAACACAGAGATGTACTGTATAAAGACATACAATCATGCACACAAACATCACACCTAAGGACAATTTAGAGATCCCAGTTAACATAAAAGTTATGTTTTTGGACTGCGGGAGGAAGCTGGAGTACCTGGCGAGAGAACCCATGCATACAGGGGGAGAACATGCAAACTACATGCAGAAAAGACCCCGGGAAAAAAATCAAACCCAAAACCTTCTTGCTACAAGGCAACAGTTCTGGCTTAATCATGTGGTTCCCAAACGTTTCTTACCTGGTCTCCCTTTTGTGGTCTGGACTTCGACTGAGTTATTATCATTTAATCTTTTTGAGCCACTTTGTCTTAGTTTTGTTTGAGATCATGATCCTGTCTGAATCAAAGATTGAGCTATGATACCTCTTCAGGCAGATTGCCTCGTTTTTTATTCCACTGCAGAGTTTATAATCTGTATTATCATGTGTTTATAATCAACCTTATAACTGCAGGATGCATTTAGATGAAATACAAACCAACATCAACTGTTGCTATTGGGAGATGTTGTATGAAGATGTACTGAGATGCAATAATTAGATGTTACCGGTATTTTATACCATTTTGTATAAACTGAAAAGATCATTAGCAAACTGATGTGTTTAAGGCCATTTCTGAAATGAAGGAATGTAACCAGATATAGATGTCTTTTAGCTGCTATAGACAGCTTTACTACCAGTTTATTCAGTTTTGTGTTTTAGTACAGCTGCTGCCTACCTGACTTAAATTAATAGCCAATTAACAGACTTCTGGAGCTCTTGATTGAATGCTAAGGATGTGGTAACACAATTATTAAAATAACGTCTGAGCAGAGACACATCTAAAGCATGGACAGTGGATCCATGCGGACCAGGGCTAAGCAACCAGTACCATAGTGTATCTGTTTTTGTGTCTGGTATGGACAAATATATGCTTTTACTTTAATTGCAAGCTGTGTTGTGCACAACTAAGTCTGAGCATTGTTTGTTTTTCATTTAATTTAGGCTTTCCCTTTGTTTGCCGGTGGTGTATCTTGCTTTCCTCCACATGGGTTTGATCATGCAGAAAGAAAAACCTCAAAATGGCGTTTTAGATTTTAATTGGCTGTCCTTGAAAGTGTTTTATCTCCAGCAGTCAGTGAATGAGAAGTGGGGTAGACCCTGCGTAGTTCACCAGCACGTCTCGGATTTAACACAAAGAAATGAGGTACACATACCCTCATCTAAGGGCAATATAACTCCATTTAACCTCACATGGGACTGTTGGAGGACACAAGGGAGAACCTAGGCAAATTAAGCATGTGATGGGCTGTGTGTCTGCACGCCAAGCTGTGCATCCACCCAGCAGTAGTGCTCCAGACTCCAAAAGCATAATAAAAAAACAACCTGATGGAACAGCAAATGGGGAAAAAAATAGAGGAAAATATTTGCATTTCTGAAATCCAGTTTGACATCATCTTTAACTTCCTCCCCACACTTTTGTTCAACTCTTATTAAGAGACACTTCATCTAAAACACCTAAAACACATAACATCAAGTAACAAGTTTATCAGCTTTGATTTCATGAGGTTGGATGATTGTATGTCTGTGAAAATTGAAAATATCTGGATAAAAACCTATTAAGAATATATTCCTGTTACGTGATATTTCACGTCGTTATAATACATGAAAAAAACTGCCAGTAAAAAACAACATCATCACACAAAACTTATAACAGCACCATCAAGGCAGCTACCTCACAAGAAATTGTGTTGTGCACAACTAAGTCTGAGCTTGCTCATGGGAATTTGAATTCAGTTCAGATATTTTACCATTTTGAACTGAGTGTGAATAGAGTCATTTTAATTCTGTTGCGGGTCAGTGCCAGTGGCCTCTTTGTTCCTGCCTAACTGTGGCTCTAACACCTGGCTTGCCACTCGCTCCCGACTCCTCATTAATGGCTGCTGACACTAACAGGAAGCGATCACCCGGAAAAATGGGCCACTTGGTTGCAACAGTGGTGCTCTCATCCTAGTATCACTCAGAAACAGCCAAAAATTCCTTTTCTAGGTCCTAACAAGTTTTTTTTTTTTTATCTTATACTTTTTCATTTTGCTAAAGCTTTTGAAAAGACATTCCAAATAACCTTACCATAGAGATAAATTAAATAAACCAATTGGTGAATAATGATCAAAGTTTCAATCCACTTACTGAATGTGATCCCAAAAAATATCTTTAACATAAAAAAATAAACTTGATAAGCATTGATAAAACACAATAAGCCCAGACCATCAGTAAGGCGTTTGCAAGCATCATCAAAGCTGCAGAGACAAAGGGGACAGAATCCAGAGTTTTACAGACTATATTAAACCTCTCACTCATCCTCTATTTCCCCGATTGGATAAAGGAATTATTGCCTTAACTGGTATCCACCCTGTGGTGTTTTTATACTACTAACATCACATCATGACATGAAAACAATAAAAAAAGAAAAAAAAAAAAAACTACTTACTATTTTCAAATAAATGTTTACTGGATTGAAATGAACATTCCCTAAGACAGAGCTTCTTTCAGTGCAGGCGGAACTCGAGTTGAGGGGGGGTGAGGGGGGATGGCATTCGTCTTCTTAAAAAATATATTAAAAATCATTACCTTATTAAATGAACATCCCCCCATAGCATCCCCTGTTACATTGTATTACTGAATGTGTAAAATTTTCCACCATATATTAACAGTAGTGGCAATAATATTGCCCTTTCAACATTTGTCGGGCTGTGGGCTTATGAGTAGCCTGAGCAAATTAAATAAAAAAGAAGTGTCCTACCATGACTATGAAGCGCATCCCAGTGGGAAATGTATCCTCTGCATTTGTCCCTAACTATGTAGGGGCAGTGATAGCCATGGCAGTCCAAGAACTGACTACAGTTCTACTGTAAGGTGCCTTGGTCAAGGTCAATGACTGGCGTACCTGACATGTAACAATCATAGTGTCATAAAGAGAACCACTCAGAGGCCAAGGGGAAAGGTTTAACAAGTTTATTGTAGAAAAACACTGAAGAAGAAGCTGGAACTCAGCAGATTGGTATACTCTGCTAAACTCAGCTTGGCTAGTGTACCCAAAAGTGGCAAACACTCTGGCGTCAAGGTAGTGACAGCCCGCTGCTCAAGTACTCCTCCGGTAATGACCCAACTAGCCGCAGGGTTGCAGGGAAGCCCAACAAGGACAGGGCACCACCTGGTGGTGGAAAGAGGAAAACACAAAAACAACCCACACAAACTGGAATCCTAACACATAGCATGCATATTGCTTTAGGTTAATAGACTATGTTAATTTGACAATGTATGCTCCCAAAAAAAAAAAAAAAAGATTTACCATCCCCCCCCCTTTTTTTTTTTTATGTTGGGTACCTTGAAAAGGGAATATTTTATTCTATTTATATTTTTCCTTTCATCTTTTATTCAATGAGCTAACAAGTTCCTGTTTTGTTATATAGTATAAATAACTCTTAAGTTAAATCATGTGAGAACATAATGTTATGTAGTCAAGTAATTGTTAAGATATAATGTACCTTTATTTTATTTATTCACCTTATTGTAATAAAATAGCCTGTTATGTTAAGGAAAGATCCTCTTAATGAGAGAGAAAACTTTGTTAGCCAGTCAATAACATGAGTCAACTTTAAATTAAACGATTCATAAATAACCTGAAACACTATGGCAGGCCTTTTTCTACTCTGCCCCTCCCTCTAGAGCTCAACCTTACACCTACAGATCAGACTTATGTAGAAGAGCATCAAAACATTGCTTGTTAATATTTGATTATGAACACATTTGATCTTTTCCTGTTTGATATCACTGAAAAATCTTTTATTAAAGGTCTTCCTCAGCGTCTTTACTTGACTGAATACAGACATTCAACTTTCTAGAAATCAATCGTTCTCAGTTTTACAGTAGGGTATTTATTGGAGGTGGACAATCAATGAAGCTATCTGTCTTTTGTTCTTAAGCTAATTTGAAGACTTTATAGGCAGCTGCTGATTTCTGTTCACACCCTGATGCTTCTCATTACACCAGGAGATCCTGTTGTTTCCAACTACTACCACAAGTAGATGAAATAGGAATGTTTAGTTCAAAGTAAACTATTTCTTCACTGGCCACATCCTAACAGAGTAGAAGGCTTGAATTCACAAAGCATCTGTTGCTTGAAAAGATCTACAACTGCTTTTATACACCTGGGGCCACAATAAAGCTTTAAAACCACTCTAAAACCTCCTCTATGGAATGCTGTCTGATACGTGTTTTATCTCTGGAAAAAAAAGTGATTGATTCAACTGTACTTAAACATGATTGCTTGTTTCTTTACAGCTTAAGAGTGTAAAACATTTGTTGAAAGTTTGAATTGTTTCTCAATCTTCTCATCTATTTCCTTTTTGTGCAGAAGTTTTGATGGATTCAACGACCGCAACAGCAGAACTTGGCTGGAGCATTTACCCATCGCAAGGGGTGAGTGAAACAAACTGAAGAGCACTTTGTGTCTAACCATAGTCTCTACGGTGTGATGTGTATATATTTACACTGACAATAAAAAAAAAAACAGCCACATCTCTTGAAATTTACCATCTGTGCTCTGTCTCAAACTACTGCAGCTTCTCATAGCATAACTTCCATTGATTATAAGACACTATTGTGGATACCAGGATGCAGGATCCTTTGTTTTTATGGAATGAAGGCTTGGATACAGTGTTTTTTTTTTTTGTGGTGTACTAGAATATTTTTTGTATTTCTGAGCTGGATGCCTCTTCAGCTTTGGTTAAGTTAAGTTCCATGGCTGTAGGCCATTGGGTTCGAAACCTGCTCCTCAGGGACCCTGTCCTGCGCGTTTAAGGCGTCTCCTTGCTTTCTCACACCTGAAATATGAATGAGTTCACATGCTTCAGCAGCACATGATGGCCATGCAATCATTTGAGTAGGCTGGGCTGGAACAGAGACACATCTAAAACATGCTGGCTATGCTGAGCACCAGGTTTTGGACCCTATAGACTCTCTATGTCAATAGGTCTTTATGCAAATGCATGAAGAGTTTGAGAAAAAAAATATAAAAATTTGAATTTTATTATTTATGGAAGATAAAAAGCATAAATGGGATTTTAAACTATAATCAGATTAGATTATATTGTTGAGTGGTTCTTTTATTCATTTGAGACCAAGACAAAGAAAAGACGCGATCAAGTCAAGACAAAAAACTGCACTGTACACTTCCTGTAACAGTAAAACGTTAAACATAATCAAAAGCGCATAAATTAATCTTTAAGGTCAACACCGCCATAAAAACTACCAGATGTGAAACACTCACAGCTGAAGAAAATTTAAACTTCTCTATTTAATTCTCTATACTAAAGTCTTCACTTTTCTTTTTTTTTTTATCAATTATTCGATTAAATCTTTTCCAAAATTTTGAATTTTTTAATGCCTATTTTGGCTTTCCTTAATATGGCACATAATCAAAGTTAGCATTAGATCACCTCTCAGGACTAAATCAAAGAGTGACTTTGTTGTAGCACTGATAACTTTGATTTCTTTGATGAAAGGAAATAATGTCTGCAGCACATGGCCATAAAGTAAACATATAATTAAAATTATCAATAATTTAAATAAAAAATATTATTAATTTATTCAGGATAAAGACAGTTACATTAATTTGATGCATGCATCTCAAATCTCACAGATTTTTAAATAAAATTGGAAATGGATGGCTGCTCCAACAATTCATTTCATAATTTGTTAATTGCCTATTTGGAAATATGTCAAAGTCTTTACCTTCTGGATGATGTCTTGCGTGGAATGCTTCAACGTTTCAAAGGCATGATGCTGACTTTACCATACCTCACAGTACAGTGTACTCTGGCTTTCAAGTTTCACTCTTTTCTCTCCAAGGCCAAACAGATTAATTATTGGTACATAAGACCATAGGAAGTCTCTTCAAAGCTGTGTCTGAGAGTTCATCTGTATATTATAAACATTTATTTTGGAGGACTGGCTTTTCCTCTCTGAGCGGCCTTTCTCCATGTGTCAGTGCAGACCTTCTTTCGCTGCGGATCATGGTGCTTGGTCTTTTGCTTTTGTTCTGGAGTTGTTTCTTAAATTTCTTACCCAAATGCATTAATCTCATGGACACAGAACCCGCCTCTCGAAGTGTAATAACTGTGTTTATACTTGTAGAAAGGTGGTGCTTGGAAATTATATCAAAGATAAGCTGTATTTGTTGGGATCTAGAGTTTAGACAAGCTCATAAAGCAACAGCATCATCATCTGGCATTTGCCAAATTGTTTAGAGGTATAGTGTATTTAAGCTTCTACATTTCAGGAAAGTGACATTAAATCTCTAAAATAAGTAGTCTTTCTCTCACTATTTTGGCTTGCAGAAAATAGTATTCATTTTGATAATCCTGAGTCACCTAAAGAAAAGCAGGAAAACTGCCTGACTTAATGATAGACAGTAAGGCGAAAAAAGTGTATATAAAGATCAGTAAACTATTTCTTTTGGTGGTGAGTAATCCTTTTTACAGCTTGTTGTCAATGGAATCCAGCTGACAGCATTAAGGTGTTTGCGCAGGGAAGCACCTATTACTTTATATGTATTCAAAGGAAACTCAAGTAACTTCAGGCAAAAGACTTAAAATGTTAAAATGTCATAAAAAAATTACTAACTTTTCGGTTTATGGTCATGAAACAGTAATTTTTCTTTTTAAACTTGGTACTGAGTTGTAGCATTAAACTGGATGTATTTACCTGCATATTACTTGATATCTGTAATTCTGTTTTGTTGTTTTGTCTATGTTTCAGTGGGAGGAAGTAAGTGGCTATGACGAACATATGAATACAATTCGGACATACCAGGTATGCAATGTTTTCGACAGCAGCCAGAATAACTGGATACGCACAAAGTACATCCATCGTAGAGGCGCTCAGCGCATCCATGTACAGATGAAATTTTCCGTGCGGGACTGCAGTTCCATCCCCAGTGTTCCTGGATCCTGCAAAGAGACTTTCAACCTTTATTACTATGAGGCGGACTCTGATGTGGCCACCAAAGTTTTCCCCTCCTGGATGGAGAACCCCTGGGTGAAAGTGGACACAATAGCTGCTGATGAAAGTTTCTCTCAGGTTGAACTTGGTGGACGCGTAATGAAGATCAACCGGGAAGTTCGAAGTTTTGGACCCGTTTCACGGAAGGGATTCTACTTGGCTTTCCAGGATTATGGAGCCTGCATGTCTATCATTGCTGTTAAGGTCTTCTACAGGAAGTGTCCTCGAGTGATCCAGAATGGTGCTGTATTCCCAGAGACTTTGTCAGGAGCGGAGAGCACTTCTCTGGTGGCAGCCAGAGGCATTTGTGTCCCCAATGGGGAGGAGGTGGATGTTCCCATCAAGCTCTACTGCAACGGGGACGGAGAGTGGATGGTTCCTATTGGGCGGTGCATGTGTAAAGCTGGGTACGAGGCACTGGAGAACGGCACAGTCTGCCAAGGTAAGAAAGCCATTATTTATTCAGTTGCCACTATGTAACACTGATGTAGGCATTTTCTTAATTTTATGCCATGAATATAAAAAACAAATTCAATGAAAATGCCAGGCTTTTATTTAATTTGTTTTCTTCACAAAGGGGGGACACTGTCCTTTGATAAATATCTTAAAGAGCACAAATTTATTAAGCAGCTGCCAGCCAATTACCAGTGTTTGTAGCAACATTCAGCCAATCATAGAGTTTAACATTACTGGCATGCACAGGCCTAGTAGATCTGGTGCCTACAGCAGCCTAAGGGCGTGTTGGCCTAGTGATTAGAGCAGTGCACTTGTGCTTTGAGAAGGTTGCAAGAACCCAGTTCGATCCCAGCAGCCTGCACTCTACTGTAGGTCTGTGAGCAAGACTCTGAACCCTGTATTGCTACGCAGGCGCCACACAATGGCAACCTACTGCTACCAAGGGGATGGGTTAAATGCAGAGGTGAATTTCTCCAATGTGAGATCAATAAAGTTCAATTATTTGCCTTGGTCTCAAGACCCTTTTTTGATGGTCTGAACCACTGGCGTAACTTTCTGAAGAACAATATGCTGATGAAGATTCTCAGTCTTCCAGGTCATAGTCATTTCGTAAAAGTTTGAAAAACAATCCACTGGACTTGGTTTCCAAGGTTTGAAGACGTTTCGCTTCCCCTCCAGGAAGCTCCAAGAAGCTTTTCTCAGACATTTGAAGTGAGAAAGCTTCCTGAAGGGGAAGCGAAACGTCTTCAAACCTTGGAAACCAAGTCCGGGGGATTGTTTTTTAAACTTTTACAGAATTTCTGAAGCACTTGTGTGGACATGTCCCCACCAACTTTGGCATGGAAGGGACAGTCCCCACCAATAATTTCCTCTTTTTTTCCACCTTTCCGCTGATTTACTTTAGCCAACAGTAACTGGGGTTGGGTGCAGCTAACTGTGTTCTGAGCTTTTTCAGTTCATGTTTTTTCCTCGATCTCCCGCTGCTTTCGAGTCCCAGCTCTTGAATATCATCTGATCTGTTGCTTTGAGACATAATATTATTTGGGGTCGCTATGCACTGCGCACAGAGTAAATACATGGTTGGAGGAGAGACACAGCAGGACTCAGTGAATTCTAACCGGCAGCTACTTCGATATATGTTTCTATAAAACTTAGGAGACGGGTTGGTTCAAAAAATTCGAGATACCACAGAAAAATCTGTTCGTTGTTCTGTTGTTTTCTTATTGAGCAAAGAATGAGACTGCAGAGCTTCTAGATACCTTTAATATTATTTTCTCTGGTATCATTATATTGGTAGACAGGTTCATAAATCAGTTTTTAAGCAGAGCAGCATTATAATTAGGGACAGCTGCTGATTTAAAGGTGAAACAGAATTACTGTGATACGCAACATGCAATAGAATATATCCCCAACTTTACAAGAAAAAATACACAATGTTATAATAAAATTCAACATGTCTTTTGTAGTTCAAGACTCAGAAATAGATTTGCCAGCCAACCCCAGAGACAGCCAGACTCACAGGACACTGACTTACCGTATTTTCACGACTATAAGGCGCACCTAAACGTCTTTTTTTTCCCTCAAAATGTGGGGTGCGCCCTATGGTGCGGTGCGCCCTATCTGCGGACGTTGTTGAGACCACCATGAGTATGTGAGAACCTTAAAGGGGGAAGTGTGGGCGTGGCTTGTGTATAAAAGAACAGGTATGTGCTTTATGCAGAACATTGTTGTCTTAACAACCCTGGAAATGGCAAAGAGACACGCCTATGAAGCCCAGTTTAAACTGAAGGCTATCAGCTACGCAGTGGAACATGGAAATCGAGCAGCTGCGAGAGATTTCAAGATTAATGAATCAATGGTTCGCAAGTGGAGGAAACTGGAAAACGAACTCCGACTGGTGAAGAAGACGCAGCTGAGTTTCCGCGGACATAAGGCGAGGTGGCCCGAGTTGGAGGAAAGACTCGAGCGGTGGATCGTGGAGCAAAGAACGAGTGGGGCCAGCGTTTCAACGGTCACTGTTCGACTAAAAGCAGTAAAGCTGGCGGAAGAAATTAAAATTGAAAATTTTCAAGGAGGTCCATCGTGGTGCTTCCTGTTTTATGAAACGGTGCAATTTTTCCATCCGGACCAGGACTACAGTTGCTCAGCGACGTCCGGCGGATTATGATGAAAAGAGGATGAGGACTTTGAGGGGTTTGATTAATACTCTGTAATAAATACTTGAATAAAGCACAATCATACTCAGTTTTGCTCCCGTTCTATTTTTCTACCTGAAAACTTAATTCAACAGCAGCCTCTGGGCCGCGGCGCATCCGGACTCACCTCGGCAGGTGTTTTTTCATCTAAATAATCTAAATCTTTTTAAGTGAGAAAGTCCACCTGAAAATTTAATCATTGCAGTCAGCTCATCCAGATTATTATCCTGCCTATGTTTTAAGTTAATTTATGCGTCAATAAACGAAGAAGAAGGGGAAACTGGCATGTCGGATTTAGCGCAGCTGTTTAATTCAGAAACAGAGGATGAGGACTTTGAGGGGTTTGATTAATACTCTGTAATAAATACTTGAATAAAGCACAATCAGACTCAGTTTTGCTCCCGCTCTATTTTTCTACCTGAAAACTTAATTCAACAGCAGCCTCTGGGCCGCGGCGCATCCGGGCTCACCTCCGCAGGTGTTTTTTTATCTAAATCAGTGGTCTCCAACCCTGGTCCTCAAGATCTACTGTCCTACTGATTTTCCCTGCTTCAACACAGCTGAGTCAAATGATTGATTACCTTTTCAAGCCATTCATTTGATTCAGCTGTGTTGAAGCAGGGATGCATCTAAAATCTGTAGGACAGTAGATCTTGAGGACCAGGGTTGGAGACCACTGATCTAAATAATCTAAATCTTTTTAAGTGAGAAAGTCCACCTGAAAATTTAATCATTGCAGTCAGTTCATCCAGATTATTATCCTGCCTATGTTTTAAGTTAATGTATGCGTCAATAAACGAAGAAGAAGGGGAAACCGGCATGTCGGATTTAGCGCAGCTGTTTAATTCAGAAACAGAGGATGAGGACTTTGAGGGGTTTGATTAATACTTTGTAATAAATACTTGAATAAAGCACAATCAGACTCAGTTTTGCTCCCGCTCTATTTTTCTACCTGAAAACTTAATTCAACAGCAGCCTCTGGGCCGCGGCGCATCCGGACTCACCTCGGCAGGTGTTTTTTCATCTAAATAATCTAAATCTTTTTAAGTGAGAAAGTCCACTTGAAAATTTAATCATTGCAGTCAGTTCATCCAGATTATTATCCTGCCTATGTTTTAAGTTAATGTATGCGTCAATAAACGAAGAAGAAGGGGAAACCGGCATGTCGGATTTAGCGCAGCTGTTTAATTCAGAAACAGAGGATGAGGACTTTGAGGGGTTTGATTAATGCTTTGTAATAAATACTTGAATAAAGCACAATCAGACTCAGTTTTGCTCCCGCTCTATTTTTCTACCTGAAAACTTAATTCAACAGCAGCCTCTGGGCCGCGGCGCATCCGGACTCACCTCGGCAGGTGTTTTTTCATCTAAATAATCTAAATCTTTTTGAGTGAGAAAGTCCACCTAAAAATTTAATCATTGCAGTCAGTTCATCCAGATTATTATCCTGTCTATGTTTTAAGTTAATTTATGCGTCAATAAACTGTATCAGAGGAGTAATCACAGCCCTGTGTCATCAGCGATGTGTCTCTCACGGCCGGTTCCCAGGTTTGAATAATACTTTGTAATAAATACACCTTGCAGCTTTATTTGCTGTGATCAGTGGGAATTAATATGTTTTTAAGTGGGAAAATCCACCTGAGAGGACATGTACCTGTATATAAAAAACGCGCCCTATAGTCCGGTGCGCCTTATGTGTGTGTTAAATATAGAAATGGCACACATAACTGAGACTGCGCCTTTTAGTCCGGTGCGCCTTATGGTCGTGAAAATACGGTAAAATGAAAATATGAGAAACCTACAAGAATTAAAGTACAAATAATAAATAATAATAAAGTCAGTTTATAAATGACTTTTGAAATGTAAGATTCAATATATAGACTTTGGCTGTCAATGACATATGGGAGAGATTTCTAAATTTGTTTTTGCTGCTTGTGAAGGAGGATAATAACTAATGCAGCTTAAAGGGAAGCCATGCATGGATGGATTGATGGAATTAAACTTGTGGTTATACTATGGATGCATGATACATTGCTGTTGGCATCGGATATCGGCTGTTATTCGTAATTTTTTATACATTAATGATTTTGGGCCCTTAATAAATAATGCCCTAAAGGCAGGCATCCGTCTATAACTATAAATATCAGTGTACTGTGGTACTTTTGTGTTCTCAACAACAGGAAAGCTCTCAATAAATATATGTTTGAGCTCATTTTTAGAGAATATAAATCCTATTGAAAGCTTTCGGGTTGAGTAGCTGTAGGTCCATCAGCCACTATCCTTAGAGCGTCCCCACCAACTTTTATCGCAAAGTTACACCCTTGGTCTGAACTTGTCTCGGTCTCGACCATCAAGGACTTGAGATTTTATTTCAAGACCAACCTGTGAAAATGTCATGGAATTCATCTGTTAATATCCTTGATTTTTTTTTAAGGAAAAATTTAAAGATTCCAATCCAAACAATAATATCACTTATTGCTGATTATTGATTTTTGTTCCAAAGGTAATTAAAAATGTACAGTTGTAGGCATGGCATTTGATGAAAAAGTGAAATGAAGACTTTCGTAATGAGTATAAAAATATAAATTTGGAGTCCTTAATATCTTTTATTTCAGAATATTTTGAAAGGTCTTTTGATTTCTTTTTTCAAATTTTATTGTGACATTAAGTGTTGGGTTCTGGTCTTGACTCAATCTCAGCCCTCGTCCGTTGTGGTCTTGGCTCAGTCTCAATGCATACAACAAAGTCTGACCGCTATCATCCCCCCCCTGCCTGATGGTTTTGGCTAAATTACCAAATATTATTCAGGTAACAACTAAAAAACAAAACCAAGACCATTAAAGATTATTTCTGATGTCCCTTTAATCATGTAGTATTTAATGGAAGAAAAAAAAAAGCTGTAATAATCTGGTGCTCCTTAAATTAAAACTTTGTTGACACTCAGTTTCAGAATTTGATCTTCTTTTATTGGAGTTTATCTGCTCTAGACAGCAGCCATACCTTTACAAAGTCATATTACTATTATGAAGTCAGACATTCTGTTTATTCTGACCTGTGTATGAACTTCCAGCAGTTGGGTCAACCCTTACTGGTATTTGCTACTAACGTTAACCCATGACATTATGGTCCTTCCTTCATGTTTTATTAATTAAAATAGTCTTTTGTTGACATATGGTGTTGATTTTGTACTAATTAGGCTCTGTGGATTTCTGACCAAATATTCAGCGTCAGTTTAATCAAACCAGGTTTTATCTCAAGGATTCAGGAGACTTTAGCAAGCCTTGATTAAAGAAAGGGTTCCTGTCTTGCTACAATGCCTCTTAGATTAGACATGTAGAAAATATTCAGGAGGGCCAATCAGAACTTGGCAGAAATTCGCTCTTCTCTTTCAGTACCACAACCAATTACTTGATAACCCTTCACATTCAGTCAGTGTTGGAAGAAATGCTCTTTTTTGCAATGCTCTTATTCCATAACTTGTCTAATTAATAATTACTGCCTTAATTGTTGCATACTAGACATGTAATTGAGCCCAGGATGTTGGCTTGCTTCTGATGTTCTTTTTTCATTTTTTTGTGCTTCTTCTGTTCTACCATTTTGTGGCAATGAAAAGTGACAGCATCTGTCGGGGTCTCTGTGTCTGTCATTTTAATGTGCTGACCTTTCTCAGATGTAGATATCCAGGCAATCATTGGTATATACCATATGATATTTTTGGAGAAAATGTATGATAAAATAACACAGGAATCTAATTTTCACTGTTCAGTTATAGTCTTTATCTGATTATGAGCAGAATTAATACTAAGCAAATCCTGTAATGATGTGTATTGAAACCATTCTTTACTTGTCTGTTGCCTTTTTTTCTGTCTAGATTTAGAATTTTCATTTATACTTTTATTCTTTCCAGCGTGTGTGTCAGGGTTCTTCAAAGCTGCCCAGGGAGATGACAAATGCCTGCAGTGTCCTATAAACAGCCGAACCATCAGTGATGGATCCACAAACTGCATCTGTCGTAATGGCTACTATCGCGCGGACTCCGACCCTTCGCAGATGCCTTGTACAAGTATGTAAACACACCTTTGCAATGGCACAACATTTCTAAGTGGTAGGTTTGCAACCATGCAGCAGGATTTAACAATAATCATTTAAAATGAGCAAGTGCTACACTGCTCAGTCAATGACTGCATGCAGTCTCTGGACGAACTGTTGGTTTTACCTTCAAGTAAAAATCTCTGGGATAAATACAGTATGTGCATTTGTTGACCAAAGACTATTAATTCCGACCTTAAAAGGATCTCTTGGATAAAAAAAAAAAAAAAAAAAAAAAGAACTAAGTTCCCTGAAATGAATTTCTTAGACAGCAGAACCTGTTGGCGATTCATCATTTATTTGAAACATGACATGTTCACCTGAGACAACCCTGTTATTTTATTCATGGTGAGTTACATTTGGCTTTCCCATTTCCTCCATTGCGTGCCTTCCAATTTGCTCAGAGGCACTGATTCATAACACTGAGTCAGTCCTGTATTTCCATTTAGCTGGCCATCTGACCATTTCCAACTTTTAAGGCATTTGGGTCCCAGCCTCTATATTCTGATGTTTTAGTTGTTATTCTTTATCATTTTCCAGTTAATCCGTGGGCTGTAGTTGTGTTTGTGAATGAACCCAATTACCTAATTACAAAACTAAAATCAGGAACTATTGTAAGTGTAGAGAGCAGTGTTAACAGAAATAGTACTTCAGTGTTAGATTTGACAACCTGATGTGTGCATGGAAAAAAAAATAATCTAGGCACCCCTTTTCTGATTTTATAGTTTTTTGTCTGTATAAATACTTCCATATGACAAGGTCTTTCCTTAGTTTGCTGGAATTAGAACATATAGGGACAAATGGGACGACATCAGTAATAGAAAAAGCTATTGTAGCAGCCTTTCTTCTAAAAAAAAAAAAGGTAAAAAAAAAAAAAGGGAAGTTAAAAGGTATTGAACTAAACAGTCCAGTTAAAAGCAAACCGTGAATCTTTTGGCCACTAGGGGCACAAGACCTGTAATTGCCCATATTTTGCTTCTATTAGATATCGAAAATGATAACTAAGATATATGATTGTATACTAGGAGCAAAGTGTTAACTTACCATTCTAATAATGAAGTTGAGAAAAGAGAACTTGTTTTACATGTTTCTTCTTCTTTCAACCTGTGCTAACGAACAAGCTCCTTTCCATGATCGACTCTTGTTTTTCCCTTGTGCACAATCCCTTTCATGTTTTCTCTTTTTAGCCTCTTCAGAATGGTTAAACTTTTTCCTTACTTCAGCAGTGACCAGTAGTTGAACAGGTGGAAAAATAATAGAGCTAAAACCTTAGCTCCATGAAGATATAAGAGCCTTTGGCCGTAAGGAGATATGTTCTTCCAGGTCACATGACCTGACCAACGACGGTGCGTCTTCTCTCAACTTACATAGGCGGTACGTAGGGCTTGCACTGATAGTGTCAAGCTCTGTATATTGGCCTGAGGAATCATTTAAAATAACTCATATCCGTTAACGCTAAAGGCCAGAAACTCTGCGGTATAACTTTAAATAAATGGAGATAGATGGATTTCACTCAGTCAACACTTTATTTCCTTTGCAAAGAAAAAGAGAACATCATGGCATATTGTCCAGCCTCGCTCTGGTTAGACAAAGTTTGTCTCAATAATTTAAACCCTGCAAGGAGACTGCGAAGGTCTCCACATACTATTATCAACACAAAGACCGGCTGCTGGAAAGAACGGATAATGTTATGAAATAATCCCTGAGAAACAGTCTAGTTTGTTATTCTTATCCCAAACACTCCCTAATAGGATAAAACAACCCCTCTGCCTTAGACACCCTGTAGCCTTGCAGCTCTGAGGCCTGAATGAATGAAACTTAGCAATTATAAATCAATATATGTAAAAGGCAATGAATAGGAGATTGATTTTTTTTTTCCACCACAAGAAGGCAGAAATATTATTCAAGAGTGGAACCTGGTGTGTAGAAAAGCCCCCCAGCAAATTTACCCCAAATCAACCCCGATAAGATAAGATTCATTAATCGATGTGTGTTATATCTTATAACTGCGGGTGACTGCACATTGTAATATAGCAGGCGATAGAGCAGGAGGTCTGACTGTGGGTAAGCTGTTGCAAAGATGCAACGTCATTTGGTTACAAGAAACTTGTCGTAGAAGCAGGATTTAGGAAGATTGTCCTCTATTAATGACTCTTTTTGTTGAGCTGGTGAATGTACAGTGGATTTTACTATGGTTATAGTGAGAGGGAGAATCGCAGGAGTAATAGCCATTCAATGGTACAAAAGCTGGATCCATTTCTGAATGTCATCAGGACTGGTGTTCACCGTGTTTACAGATGCATTACTGTTCATTTAACTGAGTAGACTTGCTTTCTGAAATTCATTTATTGATGAGCATTACTCCACCTCTGTGTATGTTGTTGGTGATATGAATGTAGATAGATCCGATGGACATTCGCTTGTTATCAAACTCATTTGTCAGTTTTGTAATGATAACAGCTTCCTATTGTCCAGTCAGCTTCTGCTACCGGCAGATTGTTTATTACATTAATGGGTTCTGGATCGGATCATTTTAAATTTTTAATGGTGCTGGATATTAAAAGCTTGTCTGACTTGATAAGGGGGCGTCCAATTTCATTGGTCAATACTTTTAAACAATGACTTAAAAATATATTGTATGATCACCTTTTAATTAATGTAAGTCTTCCTCTACAAACGGCTGTGTGCTCAGATTAATTGCATGGATATTTCTTATTACAAAGACCTGCATACTATGTATGATTGTATTGCAGGTAATAAGATGTCAGGAAAAGGATAAATGGATAAATAAAAACCAGTGCAAAGTATAAATATGCCATTCCAAACATTTCCAAATGTGAAGTGAACTATGAAGGAAGATTGCTTAGCTGGGATAATAACCCTTATTGAGGTCAAGCTGTAGGATGGGAGAACAAGACAACAGGTTCAGATCAACTCAAAAAATCTCAGCAGAACATCTAAAGAATGCCTAAAGTTGCTTTACTTCTCGCCATGTGTTTGTCTCATTCATAACTGATGGGCAGCTGCCTGGCTTCTTATTTTCTGTTACAGTGCAGATAATTAAGAATAAAACTGACAAGGCTGGAAACCTTTATAATTAGAGAACAGTAGCTGGTTTAGCTGGTGGGATATCTAAGGTCCTTGAATAAATTCTGCTTAATCATTTCAGTTTATTTCTACAACAATTATAATTTTTTTGATTGACTAATTATTGTATTTATGGCCTGAAATAAGATTTCTGTATTTATGGAATCAGTTCATTTTGGGCACTCATGAGAAATGAAATGTATCAGTTTTTCTGTTGTCTGCACAGCTTCCAGGATTGTCTTAGTGTAATGATATCACTGTAATGACTCAGAACAGATGGACCCAGTATTCAGGCAAGGTCAGACAGTGGTATAGCTTCAAAAGCCTTGTTGTGATTTTATGTTCTATTCTATTCCCAACCAGCTGAGAATTTATATTTCTGATACTACAAGATATTTATTACCCTCCCCGGTAGGGGTGTAAAATATCTTATTTAATCGGATATTATTTCGGCTGTTATATACTGTTTATGAACACACTCCCTACTAGCTGTGTGTTAGAACAATAAATGAAAGAGTGATTCGAGCTCTAATCATGGTCAAACAGTTAAATCTGCACATACATGGAATAAATTCACCACAACCTCTGTTCAAAATATAAGAGTTGGTTAACAAAAATCATTCAGCTCCAAGCCAAACATATTTCAGTTAAACACTCTTAACTAAGACTAGTGAAACTCAACTAAACTAAACTACTATGTACAAAGAGGAAAGGGAAACATGGTTGAAAACAATATTCTAGATGGTTCGAAAACCAAAGTTTATCTGGAAGAATTTGGGATATGATCAAATTATCACTAATATAGAGATGAATGTTTTCAGACCAATTCACAATGCAAATCTATGAGGTGAATAAAACATTATTTGGCCAAATAATGTTTTATTAAATGATTAATCAAGAACCAGTAACCTTTAGTTAATGATTCTTTACCCTCTTTGAAATAGCCAGCAGCAAATAGACATCAGGATTCCACTAAATCACTCTTGGTAATACTTGGTAATCGAAATGTAACGAGCATCTGAGGAACACATGAACACTAATGTTATATCAGTGTTTAAACCCTTTTGTGTAATACAGCTTGTCCAAGCTTCAGCAACAGCTCAACACGTTTCTGTATAGCATAGCGTAGCAGCATAGTAAAGCCACATTGAGGTTTTTGAGAAAAAGTGATGGTTATTAAGTCTAACAGCAGCTGGGGGGAAGGATCTATAAAAATGCTGATTTACACACATAGAGGGCAGCATTCTTTCACTGAAGGAGCTCTTAAGCTCTTCAACAGTTTAAAGGAATAGTACACCCAAAACATGATTAGCCTTCATTTTCTACTCACCCCCATGCTGAACAACACTCTGGAGTACTTTTTTGATATCTCAAATGCATCTGGAGATCTGGGAGGCTTCTTGCTGTCTGCTGACATTCAAATAATGGAGGTCTATGGCGCCCGAGACAGAAAGGTCCATAAAAGTCCATAAAAACGTGTCAATATTCCTCCATACTGCTCGTCCAATGTAATCCAAGTGTCCTGAGTGGGTAGCGTCCATAATTTACTTGAAACGAAGTCATTTAGAACGTTTTAGAGCCTAAACAGTAGTGTATATGATTTCCTAATAGCGCCCCCATGCGCGCTCACGATTCTACGGAAGCCGGCAGACCAAACCAGCGCATTCAGCTCGGCAAATAACTCATGCTCTTCCTCAACACTGAAGTCCTCAGACATTTTTCTTTCGTTGTTTCTTTCTTTGCACAGGTAAACAGCACATTTCTTCTTCTACGCTTGCATTATCGGCAGAGCAGACGCTGAATGCGCACTCTCTTCCGGTTTGGTCTGCCGGCTTCCGTAGAATCGTGAGCGCGCATGGGGGCGCTATTAGGAAATCCTATACACTACTGTTTAGGCTCTAAAACGTTCTAAATGACTTCGTTTCGAGTAAATTCTGGATGCTACCCACTCAGGACACTTGGATTACATTGGACGAGCAGTATGGAGGAATATTGACACGTTTTTGTGGACTTTTCTGTCTCGGGCGCCATAGACCTCCATTATTTGAATGTCAGCAGACAGCAAGAAGCCTCCCAGATCTCCAGATGCATTTGAGATATCAAAAAAGTACTCCAGAGTGTTGTTCAGCATGGGGGTGAGTAGAAAATGAAGGCTAATCATGTTTTGGGTGTACTATTCCTTTAATGCATGCACTGGAAGCAGGGGACATTGTAGGACAGCGGTGGCCTTTCTGATAAACTTATATAACCTCTTGCTCTTGGCTAGATAAGCTGCTGCTCCAAAGAATACGTCATAGAAGGGGGTTAATGCCACCTAAGAGTGAGAAAATGTCTTGGGAGTGCCCCCAGGTACTGTCTGTTCTGACCCTTACTATAAAGAGCATCAGTGTTCTTGTTGCAGTCCAGTTTATTGTTCAGACATACACCCATCTTAATGTGTCATTGTGGTGGGTCTGAATACTGTTATGGATCTAGAATCAGATAGCTCCGGACAATGTTACTGTAAATGTTAAAGTTTATGACAGGAATTACTGAAGAAGGAAGAAAAAGCCTCTTGTCTCTAAACTGAATCTGGCAGTGTAATTTAGATTTTTAGAGCTCTGTCTTAATGAACACCAAGAGCCCTGGAAAAACCTCCTTACCTTTTTTTTTTTTTCCAAAAGGCTCTCTGACAACAAGGAAGCTCTGTCCTTATGTCGTCAATAAGAGAATATGCTGGCCAACCACCGTTTTAAGAAATTAGTCTTTGATTTAACTTTTATACTCTCATACTTTTCTGCAGGCTGTTTGCTGGATGTTGAGTCATAAATTTTACCCAAACACATGGCTGTCTTATCATCCCTAATGCTATTGTTTACTTCACTTTATATGTAACATTTGGAAAGGTGAGGCATAAGCAGCACTATTTGGATGAATCAGTCAACATATCAGCTCTGACTCTCATACCAACTTTCAAGCTAAGTGGTGGAGGATTTGTTTTCTATCTTAAGTGTTTACCATAAATGGCTTTGTTGTAGTTTCAAATTATACATTCAGTTTTAATAAATGAACAATTTTCCATTTTGGTCTTCACACTTCTTGACAAACAAATCTCCTAAACCTATCAAAATGAAAGAGATATTTGTTTTATCTAGTATTTTATTTATAAAGCAGGGATGCTATTTTGTTTGAACAAGTTTGGCTGTTTGAAATGCCAACTAACTATCTTTTTTATTTCTTGTTTCTTCTCTCTTATCCAGCTGTTCCTTCTGCCCCTCAACGGGTGATCTCAATGGTGAATGAGACTTCTGTTAAACTGGAGTGGAGCCCACCACTGGAGAGTGGTGGTCGAGAAGACGTTGTCTACAACATCATCTGTAAAAGCTGCGACAGCAGGCGAGGAGGCTGCACCCGCTGTGGAGACAATGTCCAGTTTGTTCCACGGCAGCTTGGGCTAACAGACACAAGCGTCCACATTAGTGACCTCCTGGCTCACACCCAGTACACCTTTGAAATTCAAGCTGTTAACGGAGTCTCTGACCAGAGTCCATATTCACCACAGTACACGTCTGCCAACATCACAACTAACCAGGCTGGTAAGGGAACATCTTTTAAAATATTGTACCCATCAAGACCCAAAGGACATGGGGTTGGGGTTGAGGGGTTAACCAAGTAATTAACACACACAAAGGTAGAACTGAACCTCTATACAGCTCACTTCTGCACAGACGTCTTCCTGTTTGTAGACGACAGTTGGGTACTTGGGGTTAAATGGGGTTAAGCGGCTACTATCCTATACTATGCCATCATATGCACAGAAAGGCAATTCTATTATTTGATCAAAATGGCATATCACTGTAAAACTTTTTTACAAAATATAGGTGCATAATAATTGTGATCAGGGGATAATTATTGTTAGGAAGAACTAAGTATATCACTACTTTAGCTGAAAATGCTCCATAGGCTTTAATACCACACTTTTAGCTTTAAGCCTTACTATGTTTTTTTCACCAAACTTGCTGGTGAGGTCATTGTGGCTTTGTAGTATGTTCTTCTAGCTTAACATCTTTTTGGTTTCTTCCCAGCACCATCAGCAGTGTCTATTATCCACCAAGTTAGCAAAACTCCCACCAGCATTACTCTGTCCTGGTCTCAACCCGATCAGCCAAATGGTGTTATCCTGGACTATGAACTGCAGTATTATGAAAAGGTATGTCAATTCTGACTTGGCCAATCTTTCCTGTTCAAAAACTGTGAGGGGTTTGGGGTTCTAAACAGAGAGTTTTCATGCTGAAGCCACTGTGAATTACTTATTGGTGTCTGTGTTTCAGAACTTGGCTGAATGGAACTCCTCTCTGATAAGAAGTCAGACCAACACAGCAGTCATACGGGGCTTAAAGCCTGGGACTATCTACGTCTTTCAGGTCCGAGCTCGGACCGTTGCCGGATTTGGAAGCTTTAGTGGGAAGATGTACTTCCAAACTATTACAATGGGTAGGACCTCTTCCATCCTCTGGCAGAATGTACTAAATAACCTCTGATATTTAGCTAGTTGGTTATAGGAACAAGGGTAATGTCTAGATTTCAGAAGCTTTGCAGAAACTAGATGAAGTTGTGCTGCTTTTATCAGAGGATACGAGTCAAGAACAGGCAGGCATCAAACCATAACCAGTAGTGGGGTTTACGTTGTAGAAGTAGCTGCAAAGTCTATTTGAGTTATTTGGAGAAGTTATGAAATAAAATTAAAAAAGCCTCACTGATCCCTTTATCCACCTAAGTAGACATCAGAAAGGTCAGAGATTACCACAGTAGACAAAGGGAATAATATTGCCTTTGGACAGAAATTCTTACTGTGTTCTTCTTGGGAAGTTGAGGGCTCTTCATCTCTGTGTCTGTTGGATATGCAATATCCAGTTGTTTCCAATAAAGATTGTTGATTTAATTGTTTTACCAATTATGTTGCATTCACATTGAAAGAGGGCAAATGGCTTAAGTGATTTATATGCCATTCCAATGTAAAGGGACAATCAAGATCAGATTAATGATTATTGATGCAAAAGACGTTTCAACAAATCTCCTTTTCTCATACAGGATAACTGAATATTTTCAATGTGACTTTCACAAAATGATCAAAGCAGGTTAAAAGGAATTCAATATGTCTTAATGGAGTAGCACTGTTATGGCTGCTAGCTCCAAAACTGTTGGATAAAAGTTTTCCTGTGATCCTGGTTTGCAGGTTGTATCAGAAAAGTGGGAGCAGAGTGTTGGATGCTTAGTCAACAGCATAGATTCAAACTGTGCATTTTCTCTACATAAGTGCCATTCTGTGTCTTTTGTCTTTTCCTGTTCTTTAGAAGAGTATAATTCCAGTATCCAGGAAAAGCTGCCTCTAATTATCGGGTCATCTGCAGCAGGAGTCGTCTTCATCATTGCCATGACTGTTGTCATAATTGTTTGTCGCAGGTAAGGTATTATTTCACTGTAGAGCAAATGGGGCAGCAGGGTGTGACCATGTTAAAAAAAAATAAAGTCTGTAGCCAAAAATAAAGTATTGGAGTAGAAACAGATTTTGTCACAAGGGTTTTTTGTTTGTTTAGGTATTCCTGAAAATACCTGGAAAATACAAAGCTTTAATTGCTGTTTCTACACATCCTACTTGGACCTGGAAAGATGTTCTTTTCAGCTGCAAAATTCTTTGCTGCAGTTTTCTACATAAAAAGCTATTTTAATGCAAAGCAGTGATGGCTGCATATATTTCTGTAGATGTTAACATGTTGTACAAAGATGGTAATGATTCCAGTCACATCTGCTCCTCTCTTGTGGCAATCAGTAAACCTAATAAATCTACAAGAGCATGTCAGGTAGTGGCTCCACCAAAGTGCCCTTATGATCATGAAGAAGGTCCCTGGTTCAAATCTAGGCCTGCAGTTCTGCATACTTAAACAAACCTGTCATACTTAAAGATCAGTCCAGCATTTTTGTTTTCAAATTCAGTTATTCCTTTATATGCTGTATATACACATATTAAACAGACAAGCATTGTTTCTACCCGCAGACTTTTTAACATAAAAGATTTCTTTGTTCGTTCACATCAGGAGGAGTTCAGACAGACCAGAATCAGAGTACTCCGACAAACTCCAACATTACACCAGTGGCCATAGTAAGTGTCTTTAATTTGGTCTGTTGGATTTATGGAATAATTGCCATCTTTAGCAAGATGGGCTCAAGTTTTGGTTTGGTGATTTGTGGAAAAGGCTTGATGTTGCTCCTTACTTTGATTGTTTGAACACATCTATGCTGCTGTTCTATTTCTCTTTGTTGAAGTTTCACCGGGGGTGAAAATCTACATTGACCCCTTCACATATGAAGATCCCAATGAAGCTGTAAGAGAGTTTGCCAAAGAGATCGACACGTCTTGTGTCAAGATAGAGCAAGTGATTGGTGCAGGTAAGAAAACAATGATTTAGAAGGATAATTTAAGAAGAAAGTGGTTTTTATTTAGATTAAACTTTTTTGTTTTATGCTTAAGTTCCTTTCTGTGGTTAGGATCTTTACTATATAAGAGTTTTAGCTGCTGTTGGTAAAGGTTTAATCTATACAAGGGCAAGCTCAAAATAACAAACTTGAAACTTTGAAGCCATTCTTAATTAGAATAAATTAATGTTCAAAAAATTAAGTTCTTGATTTCTTCTCTTAAATAAGGCCAGAAAGGAAAGTAAGCCAGGAATGGTCCAGTGCTTTGTACCAGTAACATATTTAGGGCTGTTACGCAGTTCCGGGAAGACCTGTTTTTTTTGTATCACCAACTTCAGTGCATACTTGTGAGCATGCAGTGGAACTGGTCTGCAGTGTTTCAGTCTCACACACACGTTTTCTATATGTGTGTGGTGATCTTTAAACTCTGAAAAACTTCCTCTGACTATGCTCGTACACAGTAGAGACTGACACAGGAGTGGATTTTCACTCCTGTCCTGCGCCAGTACTGGATTTTTTTTCTTTCTATTTTATTTTATTTTTTGGCATTGATCCTAGTTTTTTTTTTTGTTATTATTGGTTTGCTCCCGCTCCCGTCTGCTCCCGTTAATGTTTAATCCTGTACCATCCCAATCACGTGATCGTTACTAATACTGACTCCAATCCAATGGGAATCCCACGGGAATCCCGTGACCTGTGGGATTCCCGAAAAATGTCAGTCTCTAGTCCACAGTTTTGTCTTTGCACTTACTCAGCTCCATGTTTGCATTTGGACTTCAAAATGGTTGGGTACTCGTCAGCTCATCGTTCTCAGCATCATTTTGCGCTCTGCTGTCTTTGCCCTCACAAACTGATTAGGTGTATTTGGCTGAACAACACCATCTGCCAGGAGAAAAAATGCTTCCATCTAACTCAGGATTTTATTTCTTCCAGCTCATGAGAAGTGATGCAACACTATACTTTTTGCCAAATGAATCCTCATCATGTTCAGAATAAATATTGTTATTATCTTACTGTTTATTTCCCCCAATAAATGGACTACAATTTTTATTTACACTGCCAATCTTTTTCTTAAAGGTGAGTTTGGAGAGGTATGTAGCGGAAACCTGAGGCAGCCTGGGAAAAGAGAGATGCTGGTGGCCATCAAGACCCTGAAGGCAGGCTACACTGAACGCCAGAGACGGGACTTCCTGAGTGAGGCATCTATCATGGGCCAATTTGACCATCCCAATATCATCCATCTGGAGGGCGTTGTAACAAAGAGCAGCCCTGTAATGATCATCACAGAGTTTATGGAGAATGGATCCCTTGACTCCTTTCTTAGGGTAAGTCCACCACATCGCCTTCTACAATAAGTAGATACACTATATTGCCAAAAGTATTTGCTCACCCATCCAAATTATTGGAATCAGGTGTTCCAATCACTTCCATGGCCACAGGTGTATAAATTCAAGCACCTAGGCATGCAGACTGTTTTTACAAACATTTGTGAAAGAATGGGTCGCTCTCAGGAGCTCAGTGAATTCCAGCGTGGAATTGTGATAGGATGCCACCTGTGCAACAAATCCAGTCGTGAAATTTCCTCGCTCCTAAATATTCCACAGTCAACTGTCAGCTGTATTATAAGAAAATGGAAGTGTTTGGGAACGACAGCAACTCAGCCACGAAGTGGTAGGCCACGTAAACTGACGGAGCGGGGTCAGCGGATGCTGACGCGCATAGTGCGAAGAGGTCGCCAACTTTCTGCAGAGTCAATCACTACAGACCTCCAAACTTCATGTAGCTCAAGAACAGTGCGCAGAGAGCTTAATGGAATGGGTTTCCATGGGCGAGCAGCTGCATCCAAGCCATACATCACCAAGTGCAATGCAAAGCGTCGGATGCGGTGGTGTAAAGCACGCCGCCACTGGACTCTAGAGCAGTGGAGACGCGTTCTCTGGAGTGACGAATCGCGCTTCTCCATCTGGCAATCTGATGGACGGGTCTGGGTTTGGCGGTTGCCAGGAGAACGGTACTTGTCTGACTGCATTGTGCCAAGTGTAAAGTTTGGTGGAGGGGGGATTATGGTGTGGGGTTGTTTTTCAGGAGCTGGGCTTGGCCCCTTAGTTCCAGTGAAAGGAACTCTGAATGCTTCAGCATACCAAGACATTTTGGACAATTCCATGCTCCCAACTTTGTGGGAACAGTTTGGAGCTGGCCCCTTCCTCTTCCAACATGACTGTGCACCAGTGCACAAAGCAAGGTCCATAAAGACATGGATGACAGAGTCTGGTGTGGATGAACTTGACTGGCCTGCACAGAGTCCTGACCTCAACCCGATAGAACACCTTTGGGATGAATTAGAGCGGAGACTGAGAGCCAGGCCTTCTCGTCCAACATCAGTGTGCGACCTCACAAATGCGCTTCTGGAAGAATGGTCAAAAATTCCCATAAACACACTCCTAAACCTTGTGGACAGCCTTCCCAGAAGAGTTGAAGCTGTTCTAGCTGCAAAGGGTGGACCGACGTCATATTGAACCCTATGGATTAGGAACGGGATGTCACTTAAGCTCATATGTGAGTCAAGGCAGGTGAGCAAATACTTTTGGCAATATAGTGTATATATGATAAGTAGTGTGATTTATAACCCTTAAGTTTAAAATTGTGCTTGGATCTTAGCTCCTACCCCACCATCCCATCCCCAGTCTGCCCCGCAAGCAGACAGACACACTCGTATTGCTATATGCAGTGAGGACCATGAGTTGACTTCCATTGCTTTTCAGGGATTTTTAAACCCCTCTATGCTCTAACTCTGAAAATAACCCTAAACCTAATCATTACTAGTCCATACCTTACCCTAATCCTAATCCAATTGAGACTTTAGACTTAAACCTAACCTTTTGCAAAATGGCTTATGAGGCCCGGCCAAAATATCCTCACTTTGTACAAATGTCCTCACACCACAGGTTAAGGTAAGGTTAAGGTAAGATGGAAACTGGTTCTCACTCTTATTCTAAATAGGAGCACTCACACACACACACACACACACACACACATGCGCAACTGTTACTAGTTTACTCCTAACTTTGTCTTAAAGTGAATTCACATCATACATCTAAACCAGTGATCCCAGTGCTTTTCACACTGAGCTATCAGAGCTCATTAAAGCACCTCAGGTGTTCTGATGAAAACAAAGTAAAACAAATTAGTCAAACAAATTGGTCTAACTATACATTTTGTTCTTCATTTTGTTCCCAATTCCTCAAGTTTAAATGTGATTATAGAGGAGTTACCAGGAGGAGCACCAGCTTTATAAATACAGGTTTATAATATAATTTTATTTTGTATTTATTTTGATTACTTACTAACTTCCAGGCAACATATTTATGTTGCTTTTTATTTGAGATAGAAAGGATAAATTGCCTAAGAATTGAATGCTCAGATTAAAAGATTAGTTAAAATGTTTTTTATTTCATATTCAAATTTTGTACATTCCACTTTTGCCTGAGAGGGGGACTCATGGTAAGACAAAATGCCAAAACAAGTCAAAAAAGGTTGGGAACCACTGATCTAAACTGACGTTGGTCTTTAGAAGGTGATTAAATATGCCAGAAATGGTCCTAAATATGTAACATAAACAAGTACACACACACACAGCCATTTTGGTTATTTGTATTTTTTTTTTTTAAGGAGTGGACCCTGTGAAGCAATCTGACTTAAATACCAAAATGAAACACTACAATTGAATTGACACTATTGGATTTTTCCTTCTTCAAAGCAAAATGATGGGCAGTTCACTGCGATCCAGCTGGTGGGAATGCTTCGTGGAATTGCAGCAGGAATGAAATACCTTTGTGAGATGAACTACGTGCATCGAGACCTTGCTGCAAGGAACATCCTGGTGAACAGCAATCTGGTGTGCAAAGTGTCTGACTTTGGCCTGTCGCGCTTCCTGGAGGATGATACATCTGACCCAACATACACCAGCTCTTTGGTGAGCCCTCCTTTATTATGAATACATTCTCAGCTAGGCACAAATTACTTTTAAACTCTTTGATAAATTGCATTTCAATTTATTTACATAGCATTAAACAAGACATACAAAACCACACAGCATTTAATGCTTACCCTTTGTCTTTTTGTAGGGAGGGAAGATTCCCATTCGCTGGACAGCTCCTGAAGCTATTCAGTACAGGAAGTTCACTTCATCCAGTGACTGCTGGAGTTATGGCATAGTCATGTGGGAGGTGATGTCGTATGGTGAACGACCTTACTGGGACATGAGTAACCAAGATGTAAGTAAGGTCCCGCTGAAGATCAATAGAGAACTTTCATAAACTTGTAATAATTTCAATGAGTTTGATTATTTACTATTCAGAATGACAATTTGATCAAATTTTCCTTGCAAAATACTCAAACAATCTGAACAGCCTTCAATATGCTTTGTAGGTCCTTGGAAGCTCTATTTAGTACTGAAGATCTACCCAAGCACCATACAGCAGTACCCATCAGGGTTTGAAATTAACACCTGCTAATCCACCAAATATTATGAATACTCTCAGTTGAAATTATCACAGCCATGTCAACAAACCACTTCTGCTTCAATTCTATATGTTTTTTTATTGTAGTTTTCTCCTGCGCAGTGTTTGTTTATTGGTCTGTTTGTGACCGACGTCACTCTAGACAGGCGGTTCCTATGGAGAACACAAATGTGAAGCAGTAAGGGTGCTAATGTCGCGGTAAATCTACATTCAAAGTGTCAGAAAACCTGGAGAGCAGACAAAAAGAAAACCTCTCAATGAATAGAACAAAGACGAGACGAAGAGAAGGAAAAGGCCGTGTAATAAAAAATGGAAGCAATGAGAGAATTTTTGGTTTATGACCTTGGAGATAAAGCAATGAGCTGCACTGACCATTTTTATTTCTTGTGCAAAATATTTTTTCTGCTCTTTGTCTGTAGTACCTCCTCTAAATTAATATCAAAAGAGTTTTTCTTTTCAGTTTTGTCCAGTTTATTTTTTATATTTTAAATAAATATTTCACTTACCTGCACGACTTTTAATAGGCTGAAAAAAACAAACCTACTTTGCACACTGTATTTTGCAAAATATAAGGAGCTTTACACAGAACCTTATCAGAGTTGAATACTTGATAATGGTCTGCAGCAGTGGCGATTCTAGACCAAATGTACCAGTGGGCCAAGAGGGGGGCAGCATGTTTTTATGGGGGCACAGTCAAGCATGAAATAAAAAAACAGGACAAGGGATTCAAATATATTAAGATAGTTGCATGAAGTGAAACTTCTATTCAATTAGGTTTATTTAAAATTCTATGTCTATTACGTCAATATACATTCATAATTTAGAAATTTTACATATTTTTGACTTAATTAGAAATGACTGTTCTGTATAAAATCTGAATTAGAACTAAAGAAAAGTAGATAAATTCAGCTGTTAAAAATTTTATAATTTTTTTAAATTTGTTTTAAGGCCATAACAGGGGCCAGGACTTGACCTTCAGGGGCACTGGCCCCCATTGGCCCCTGTCTAGAACCACCAATGGACTGCAGTATTAAACATTATGCAGTCTAGATATGTGTGTAATAAGTGTAATATGCATTTTGAAAAGTAGTAAATCTATTTCAGGTAAACATTAGCATGACGGTCAGTTTCAATCAAATTAAACATAATTTCCCAACAACAAAATTGTGACCTTTGAAAATGCAGAGCGGTTAGTAACTTTGGAAGAACACTAGCCATGTTTGTCAGGTTGTGTGGCGGTTTTTAAAGGACCCAAATGAAGAGATGGAAGTTGAAGTGGTTTCTTGCAGGTTGATTAACCAAAAGGAGGCAAGTGAAGCAAAATTGCCAAAATACAGAAACCCAAAAACCAGAAGGGGTCTGGGAAAACACATATGAAGCATCTAGAAGGGAGCTAGAGAATAGCCTGATTGACACCATAGCTCAGGTCCACCATAAGAAGCCGGGATGTTTGAGGGTTTGTAGCAACCATTTACTGTAAGGATGTTTCTGCTGGAAGCGCTCCTTAAGTTTGGGAGGGATCCAACCATACCTGCTTTAATGATCACAGGTACCCCTGAAACCCGGACCATCCCCAGTTTCTCAATTTGCTATTTGAGTCATTGTGGGTTTTTTTTTTAAATCTTTATTGCAATGTCTTCATTTTTATTTCAACACACAAAGATTTTTTTAACAAATATTTACATCTTCAATTCTATACCATAGACAGGGACTAATCACCTGGTTCAGTAAACAGGATGAGGGTAAACTAAGCAGGGTTTTTACTTTCTGAACCTTAATTGCCTGCTTTGTTAATCTGCATCTTGTAGTAAAGTCAGGACATTCTCACCTTCTTTGGTGCTGCTTGATGTTTTGACTGTGGGTTTTCTGTCTATGTTGTGCAAAGATATTCCTAAAGGGTCTTTTTACCCTTGCATCATATGTGGACAGTAATGCCTAGGTCATCCAGACTTAAGTTGCAGCTCTATAACAAAAAAGTTTCTTTCATGGTTTCTCATCTGATATCATGTACCTAATTATACTTTTTATTGAGGTATTGCAGCTTGCAGGGTTGGGTGGTAATTAAAAAAACAAAGTTAAATGTTTTTGTGGAGTTTTTTTCTTGTAAGACATCTATAACGCTACACTGGTCTAATTTCACCTGTTAGTTAATGTACGATGTTTGAATTTCACCAGGTAATCAATGCCATAGAGCAGGACTACAGGTTACCAGCTCCAATGGATTGTCCAAGTGCATTGCATCAGCTGATGCTTGATTGCTGGCAGAAAGACCGCAACAGCCGGCCTAAATTCAGTCAAATTGTCAGCACCCTCGATAAAATGATTCGTAACCCCAACAGCCTCAAGACAACAACGCCACTGTCCTCATGGTAGGCAGACAGCCTCTTACTTTCATACAGGTCCAGACTTATAATCCTCCACTAATGATTCTCTCTTCTTTTGTGTTTTCTCCCTTTTCACCAGTGTACATTTACCCCTGCTCGACCGAAGCACCCCAGACTTCACTTCTTTTACTACAGTGGACGAGTGGTTGGAAGCTATTAAGATGGGCCAGTACAAGGAGAACTTTGCCAATGAGGGCTTCAACAGCTTCGATGTGGTGTCTCAAATGACGATGGAGTATGCTGGTTTACTCTCATAAACTTATGCTCTCACTTTTTACATCCTTTTATTAAGCAATACATTTAAAATAATCTCCATAATAAATACAAAATAAGTTATATATTTAGGGCTAAAAAAACAAAGTTATGGCAATAAAGATGCAAGATGAAAAGACGTCTTAGACAGACATAAAAAGAAGAATCAAAGTTATTGTCATTACTGTCACAGGTAAAAAGCAATGAAATTTACTCTTTGCTTTTAACACATCCCTTTGGGGAGCAGTGGGCTGCCATTGTGCGGCTCCTGGGGAGCAGTGCAAGGTTAACACTTTATAGGGCAAGTTACCATTTTTGATCACTGGCAATCCCTTACAAATGGATTCCCCCTTCGTCCCTCAGCGAGGTCTAGAAGCACAAGATCTATACCCAGCCTTTCAGCAAAGATATGATATATTCCCTACTGTAAATTAAGCTAAAAAAAAGGGTAAAAAGCTAATTGAAGAGTTAAAAAGTAAAGTTAAAAAGTCAATAAGCCTAGTTTACGATTGTATTTAAGTTTATAAACTAAAAAATGTAAGTCCAAGTATCAGCATTAATGCCTCTAATCACTGTCACATAGGTCACTCAGTATTTCACTGACCTATAAAGGGTTAACGGCTCCAGCCCCAGAGTGGCAGTCCATGGGAGACGGGCTTGAACTCAGAACCTCTGGGATCCAAGCCCAATGCCCTAACCACTGGGCCACCACTCCACTTTAAACACTTTAGATGAGTTTTAATTATACAATGGTGTTCAGTTTAAAGAATGTCATAATAGTCAAAGAAGGGTATAACTACAGCTGTGGTATTACTTTCATAGGACTATGTTTCTTTGGAATATAAGATTTTGTGGCACTACCAGACTTTACACCAATAGTCACAATATCAGCAGTGAGAGAAGAAGGACAACATCATAGCAACACAGGTCTGGCATTTAGGAATTCAACTCTCTGTAGATGGTTAAAGATTAGCAAATCCTAAGCTGTTTACAGTTATTTGTACAACTACATAAAAGCTTTATGAATAAAAGATTAAATATTGCATATAAGAATTATTTATCTCCTTATTCAAAATTAAAACCACTTTAAATCATGAATTTGTAGTAACTAATTCACTTTGGGGGGAGGGGAAATAGGCATTTCATATTGGAGACAAAGATTAAAACCCATATTTAATCCTTACTTAATTTTTTTTTTAAGCTTCAAAGGTTAAAGTCTTAATAAAATGTAAACAAATCCATACAGATCGCAAGATACTGTTTTGGCTCACTTTCAGATAAACTTGCGTGTTGTCTGCAAAACAACGCAGTGCCAAGGAATGCTGTGATTGTCTTAGATTTTCCCTCCAGTGGAGCTCAAAAACAAACTCTGCCATGCTATTAGATGATGCAAACTGTTTGAAAAAGACTTACCTCTGCTATAGCACTGTATAACAATAAAGATAAAATAAATATTATATAGATATTTTCATAAACACTGTTCAGAGAAATTACAGGGCCAGCATAACTTCACCATTTTACTGCTCTTTTGTACATTTTGTACAAGTTTATTTTATTCTTTGCATTTTTATTCATAAAGATCATTTTCAGTGTATATCTCCACAAAAGTTATTTCAGTATTAATCCTAATATTAACCTTTTTACTTAATGTAAAATTTGGGTTGAAAAGTTGAAAAGTAAAACAAAATTGGTATTTCAGTATCATTTATGATTTAAAATGTTAGATTGTTTAATTTTACCTTACTTCTAAGTTTAAAATTACTATTATACCTTTTATTTAGAGTGAAATTATGTAAAAAAAAAAAAATAAATAAATAAATAAATGAAAAAAAAGGTTGTACTTCTATTCGTTATTCATCTTTATCAATGTAGGTACAGTTATCTGAAACATTGTTAAAAATATATACCTCAATTTATTGATTTCATCTACTTATTACAGCCCTCTGCACAAAAACACTAATGATCTGCAGTAGTGTTAACAATGAAAAAAAGAAACAGTTTGCTGCTAAATATATAGTTTTGGTGTTATACACAAATTATGTATTTAGGCTATCAAAGTAAAGTGAAGGGTTGTAATATATTAGCTTATCTGATATATTACATTCACTGAAGTAGACGGCTTCATGCAAAAAACCTGATGTTTTTTTTTTTCTCTGCAGCCAAGCATATAAGCAGACACTAAGTCATTCAGGATCAGTTTAATGGACGTCTGACAGGAAACTGACCAGTGCTTTTTTTCTTCAGGGACATCGCCAGGATAGGAGTTACTCTGGCCGGCCACCAGAAGAAGATCCTGAACAGCATCCAGTCCATGAGGGCACAGATGAACCAGATTACCTCAGTGGAGGTGTAATTTTATGGACCCGTCTACATGGGCTTTGTTTACCGTAGGAGGCCAGCAGCCTCCAGAACTTTATTCTCCTGAACGTCTGAGGAGAGCTGATAATCTTCATCCAAACTGTGACCTCACTATACCTCATTCTGGACCACCAAGGCGGGGCCCCTCTGTCCGCAGCACAGAAACGTTGGATATTTGTCGTTACACCTGCTGTATGTTCGGGTCACAGTCCATTCGGAGGCTTTGAGTTGAAGCTAATCAGAACTGCACCCATTCCAAGGAAGCCGTGAGATAAAGGAATTCTATCTCTATTTATTGTTGTATCACCTCCTTCATCAGCTGCATTTACTAAGCAAGATCAATAAAGTCGATCTAAATTTATTTAGCAATTTGAATTTTGCGAAAGCGATGATACCAATGTAAATAAATATGACTTAAAGCAGCACAATCAAATTCGACTAAGGAGAGTACAGCATCTTAGTGTGAATTATTTTTTACAGTTACACCTTTTACTTAATCCAGTATTAATGCAGCTATTGCAGGCTCCTTCTTTTAAGATCTAATTCCTTACATAATTACTTCAGGCCTCACATTTGGGGCTTTAGATGGCAACCAGCCTTAGAGGCCTTAAATACCTCACTGACAATCAACTGTAGGTAACCTCTAGAGTGACAAACATTTGTCTTTTCCATTTTTTATTCTAAATTTGGTTGTGTCAGATTGTTGAGAGATCAAGTCCCTGACTGTCGGTGTAACATGGTAATTCAGAGAACTTTTAGGGTTTGTGATTCATGACGGGTTGTTTTGTCAACATTTAATACGTGGATCTTAAATGCTGAAGGAACGCAGCTCTCAATTCTGAAACAAACCTGCCTGAAGGGTCACAGGACAAAAAAAAAAGTGACTTTATAAAAAAAAGAGATTTATAGCTTTTAGACATCTTAATGAAGCTACATTGGGGGTTTTTATCATACGCTTTAATGCTTATTCCCTTAGTTTTTAAATATAATAGATAATTTAATGCATATTTATATAATGCATTTTTTACAGCCTAAGACTAATTTATTTAGTAGCAATGGAGGCAAAAGTGGCACCTTGCTCTAGTCCAGTCCCTCATCCTGGTAAAGTATTAAAAAATGAAGAGGAATAACTCTTTTGAGCCAGGAAGGATCTTCCAACTGAACTGGACTCTATGAGAGAGCCACTGGTGAGAATTTGCCACAGTCATCAGTTCAAACATGCAAGGTTAAAAAAAAAACATAGTTAGTGTTAAACATAAGAATCTTATGGAAGCCTGTTTCCACCACTCTGTAAAAAAAGAAAAAAAATTATCTCATTATAATGAGATACTATCTCATTATATTGAGATTGTAACTCGTTATAATGAGATGCTAACTCAATAGAATGAGATGCTAACTCAATAGAATGAGATAGTATCTCAATAGAATGAGATAGTATCTCAATAGAATGAGATAATATCTCAATAGAATGAGATAGTAACTCAATGGAATGAGATTGTAATTCAATAGAATGAGATGCTAACTCAATAGAATGAAATAGCATCTCATTATAATGAGATACTATCTCATTATATTGAGATTGTAACTCATTATAATGAGATGCTAACTCAATTTAATGAGATGCTAACTCAATAGAATGAGATAGTATCTCAATAGAATGAGATAATATCTCAATAGAATGAGATAATATCTCAATAGAATGAGATAATATCTCAATAGAATGAGATAATATCTCAATAGAATGAGATGCTAACTCAATAGAATGAAATAGCATCTCATTATATTGAGTTACCATCTCATTATATTGAGATATTTTTTTTTTTTTTGCAGAGTGGCGGAAATAGGCTTCCATAGAATTTAAAGGGAGTGTCTAGAAAAAGAGTGCATTCTGTCCGTTCCTTCCATGGTGTGGGCCTCAAGAGGATGGATTATATGAACCAGCGCAACTATGAGCAGACTGAAAAGGAAACAGACTGCCTTAGTGGCGGTTCTCGCACTGGTCCAAACTCTTCCTTCTTCCCGTAAAACACGCAGCTATTGTTCTTATTTATAAGGCAATCAAGTTACAGAATTTTAAAATCCTATTATTAGTCCACCCTGCATCAGACAGGTTTTATCACACATGGCTAAGTAAAAAAAAATCCACACCTCACAACACTCGATTTATTTTTCTGGGTCATGTAACATCTTTTAGTGAATACCTTTTTGGGTCTAGCAAATTGGAAATGCTAAACCAAATGGATGCATTTTCCGTTTAAGAGCAGAAATTGTTTTTCACACTCAGATTCTTTGCTGTTGTCTCTCAAAACTCTGACCTTAAGAAATCAGACTTCCATACAAAGACTGTCTTTCCACTCAAATTTAATGCCTCTAAAATCCAAAAGTCAATATAAAGATGAACAAACGTGCTTACCTATCACCTGGAGATTTACTTGGAGTAGAAAACTAGTTTAGCCACTGAAATTACAGCCATATACTTTTCTTTTATTGGCTAAAATTTTATACATAGAAACAATCTCAGGAAATTCAAAGATTCCCTCCAGAAGACAAGATCCTCAAGCACTGATCCAGTTCATACACAAAGGAACACAACCAGGAATTTAAAGAGAAGCATTAAATGTCAGAGCAGGGATTTAATTTGCACACTTTGTGTGAGTTCAACCTTCTCAGTAAGAGCAGCTCAAACCTTTCACACCTGAGTGTGACGATGAGAAATAACGCTCTCTGTTAGAAAATGTACACCGTGGTATTTATTTTAAAACATTCTCTGTACAATCCCATTTTATTCATTTATGAGGTTGTGCTTGACCTACGTTCTTGTTGTAAATGCCTTTTGTAAAATGATAAGAATGTGATCATTTATTTTGTGGTATAACTTCCTGACTTCTGTGACATCACCCACAGGAAAACCCTAATTAACTTATTTTCTAGCAGAAGTTTGACTATCTTTTTTAAATTGGACCTCAAACCTCAGTTTTAAACCAGATTGTTTAAGCCGATCTATAACTTCTAGGTTCATATCTCTGTTGGGAGATGGTCTGTTAGATGTACACAAGACACAGCGTTTTCCCTGTGGCTCCACAGGGAAACCTTTGGGAACTTATCAGGAAGATTCTTCCAGAATCTCTCACTCTTAAACTCTCTAAGCAGATTTCAGACAGATTTCAGATTTTTTTACTTTAAATGATCAGCTCTTTCTGAACATGTGTTTTCTCATATTGCATCACTGTATGTGTGTGAGTATTGTAACAGTATGTAAGTTGTACAGATGCGCACAAAACTCACTGTACTGTACTACACAAACTTCTACACCGTTGTACACATTCCTGCTGTAACAGATGCTCCCGTTCACACTGGCTAATGTATTTTAATAGGGTGTGTTTTTGCTGTGAAATCTAGTTCTTTCAATCTATGTTTTTACAAAGTGTGGTTCCACTTTATCTTTTTGATTTGTTCCTCTCTTAATTGTAGGTATTCAACATCTATCATAGAAATCTGGGTGTTTGATCATGTAATTTTGTCATGATTAAATTCCTGCGCTCCTTTAATTTAATATATGAGCGTGTGATTGAAGACAATAGTTATTAGCCTGCGTGCTAATACGTCTGAATACATGTTTGTTTGTTTTTTTCTTTTCTTTTTTTATTGTCAAATTCATGTACCTATAGCCAGAAGCTAGTCATGTTTGTATACCTGGTTCCTTCACTTCACTGACCTAAAAACAGAAATAACCTCACTTAAAATTTGGCTTCTGTATGTTTAGTGAAAGCAGTCTCCCACTGTGTGTGTTTTCATGCCTGTGTTTGTCCCTGCTTGCTTACAGTAGAGCAAAGGTTCTTCCTGTGGATATTTTTGCTGGTTTGACTTGAGATTTTCGAAAAACAAGCTTGTCGTGTATCGTTGATGTTCATGATTCTGCTGTGAAAACGGGGTAGACATTGGAGCCATGATTAGACTTATTTACCATTTATCTGCTTTTTCAGAGACAGAACAACTTTGAGTGGATAAAAAGAGCAACATACAATATGTAACCAATCCCCCCTCTAGTTTTTGTTGGTTTTACTGTTTCTAAGTATTGTTTTCTGCACATTTTAAAATATACAAATAAATTTTGGTTGACCATATTTTGTTTGTATTTAATGGGGGCACTTTGAGACTGTTGTCCGCTAAGTGAAGTGAAACGAAACACATGAAATCTACTGTATGCAAAACATGCTGAAAAAAAACCCCAAAAGATAACTGAAACCCAAAATGGTGCAGACCCAGTGGATAGAGGAAAAACAGTGAATACAGATTATGTTAGGATTTTTTTTTATTTGAGCTGAGCTGACTGCTGAACTTTCATTGTTTTTAAAGGCCTTTCTCCTCCTCAGTTCCTCCTCAACATCAGAGTTGGTCCTTATTTTGGTTGGTTTGTAGTTTTTCTTTCAGCAAGTTTTATGTTAATTCCTAACCTTACCTTGGTCTTCCTTTCTGTTCTCCTCCACAGCTCTTCCTAATACCCCGCTTGATTAGTCTGTGTTTCATATCATTCTCCACTCACACCTCAGTATAAAAGCTTAGTGTTCTTTCCAGGATAATTTCATTGATCTGCCCACACCCCATGTCCTGTTTAATTTTGTGAAATGTATGTTTCTTTTTTTTTTTACTTCTACCATGTTTATCCCTAGGTCCTCACTATATCTTGGTACTTTTGTAACCTTAAAAAACATATTAGCTTAACTTTGATCAAAATTAAAAAAATCAGGGGAACTTCATATTCAATTGACAATTCTGTTTCCAACTATACCAAATATAGTTGCTTTTTGTTTTCCAAATATTAAGAAAAAAAAAGTTAAAGTTTATTTTAAGCAAACTTTCTGTCCAGCAGACATTTAAAGACTGATGCTTCAGAATCAGACATTCTTTAATAATCCCAGAGGGAAATGACTTTTGTTACACGCTCCAGATATACAAACATATTATATATATATATATATATATATATATATATATATATATATATATATATATATATATATATATATATATATATATATATATATATATATATATATATATATATATATATATATATATATATATATATGCAAAAACAGTGCAAGGAATGAATAAAGGTCTGAAGGAGCTCGTCTGCTGGACCAGTATGTCATTATATGTAATAATTGACGAATTAGTAAAATACAATGAAATTCATACTGTGCCATTAATTGCATACTAATCAAGCCCATCTATCAGTCAGCTTTTGTTTGCAAAATTATGTATTTCTGCTCTTGATTCTCTGTCTTCTGTTTTCCTGTATTTTCACCCCATTTTAGCATTATTTGTTTGTCGTCAAACATGGCAGGGGCTGTTTTGCAG